TAGAACCCCAAAAAATTTTCCGCGGCTTCGCCGCCCAAGAGGCTGCAATAGTCTTTGGAATCACATACTGCTAAAATTTTTCGGCGGCTGCGCAGCGCCAAGATCCATGAATATTATTAAAAGACACTACTACTGAGATTCACTACGCACCAGGTACCTTCGACTGCTGCTGGGCGGCCACGGCCTCTCTGCCGGAGCCTTGTTCAGCTCTCTCTTCACGCTCCATTCTGACAGTGGAGATGTGTGTGTTGTCCTCATTCCAGTGCCACATTGCAGATGTGCATTTATCATAGGACTTCCTGTTGCAGATGCGGGGGGTTAAGTCACGAGTGACTCAGAGCCCTCACAGGCTCGAGTTCCTCCAGTGATCTGGGTTGCATAGGCCTTGGGCAATGGCCACTCCAAGATGCTTCTGCTTTTTGCTGGGCTGTCCACAGTGTCGGCCGGCGAAGACGATGCCGGCAAGTGAAGCTCCCAGGCTGCCCAGGCCTGTCCCTCAGGCGACCCCTAGCGTCTTGCAGCCTCTTAGTCGGCCTCTCGAGCATGCAGACGCGGTGAAACAGCAGAAGGTTGAGAAGGGCAAGAAGTGCAAAGCACCCCGTGGTGGCAACATTGCCGCCAAACCTAAAGCCTCTCAAAGGAAGTCCATCAAGGAGGCCTCGCAAACGAAGTCCATCAACGAGGCACAGAGCTGCAGTGGCCAATCAGCAGAGATCCATAGTTGCACTAGTCACATGTGGTAGCACTTTTCCATGCACACTTGCAACTATGCATGTTTATTGTGCTGCTCATGGATAGATTCTAAGGTTGGGCGTGCATGGTTTCGTGCACGACATCACCGGCCAACCGATCACAGAAAAAAAGCTTGTGGAAGTCTTTGCTGGCTCCTGCCGTCTCTCCCGTGCAGTTGCAGCCGTTGGCATTCCTGTGGAATCCTTCGAAAGGGAGCGTGGCCTCTCCGAGGCAGCACAATATCACAACACACCCAGCTCCCTGTAAGAAAGCCCCGCCAAAAGACCCAACTCGGCCAGAAATGAGAACAGGACGTACTCCACCTGGAGAACATGGAGATGCTGAAGTCGCGCATCCGGGACAAGCAGGTGCTTGCAGTATGGCTAAGTCCCGAGTGCCGGTCGTTTACAAAGGCACGGCGTGGCAAACGGACTGGCCTCTCCAAGAAAGGCTTTCCAGGTCCGGTCCGTGGTCATGGATGTGTCCTGGGCCTTCCAGGTCTCTCCATCAAAGACCAGCAGAAGGTCAGGTCGTGCCGCTAGACAACTAACACTTGTCTGAAATCCCCGGCAAATTGTCCCTTCCCTTTCAGGTGGATCACGGCAATAAGTCAGCCAACGCCTGCATCGAGTTCATCGAGGAGTGCATCTTGTCCAACACACCGGTCTTCCTCGAGAACCCACAGAGATCCTGGCTTTGGTCGTTTCCTGGGCTCTCCGAGCTTCTGTGTCTTAGCCGCATAATAAAAACCGAGCACACAGACAATGACATAACAGCCCAGTTGTCATGGTTTCCCAGGACCAAGGACGAATGTAAGATGGAGCTTTTCCACTGCTGCCGCTATGGCGAAAAGTGGAAGAAGGCAACCTTTGTGGCAGCTAGGCTTTCAAGTCCATGCAGTTGTCTTCTACGGAACACATGTTCCTAAAATGGAAACATGACATGCATATCTTGTTTGAGGCAACGTGGTGCGCGCGGCCTCTCCAAGTGTCCAAGTATTTCCTGCAATGCAGGGGCCGCCTTTGCCAGGTCACCGGTGCAAAGCACCAGTCTCTGATTGGTCTCAGCAAGCAGAGGGGTGCTGATAAGACTTGGAGCACAGCGCAGGCCCAATCTTATCCTTTGAAGTTTTGCAAACATTTCGCAAAGGCACTTGTGGCTGCCCTAAAGCAGACCTGATCTTTGCAAGGGGGAGAGGCCTTTTAGACCATGACACTTATCCACACATGCAAGGCACTTCGGACTGCAGGAAAGCAACAAGGATCTTTCCAAGGGCGAGAGGCCTCTCACATCCATGATACTTTGCCAGGGGAGAATGGCATTCACAGGCTTGAACACTGTGGAATGGAAAAAGAGCTCCTGTTGGCATCGACTTGCAGCAAGAACACAAGGTAGGCATGAGCTGCACAGTCCAAGCTGTGGTGTGAAACTCATAAGTCGTCTTTGCTTGTCCCCAGAGGACAAACACAAAGTGCCACTGCAGGTATTCGGGCTCCCCACATTGCAGCAAGATCAGAAGGTAGGCATGACATGCACAGTCCAAGCCAGGGCCTTGTGGTGTGAAACTCATAAGTCGTCTTTGCTTGTGCCCGGAGCACAAACACAAAGTGCCGCTGCAGCTCTTGCGGAATCTCCGCTGCAGCTCTTGCGGAATCTCCTGGCCATGGCACTGGAGACAATAGGCTGCTACGATTGCAGCACTTTCAGGGCCGTCCCCTTCGACTTTACGGCTACCTTCCAGGCCCTGAAAGCAGCGCCCGATGCTTCTAAGATTGACCATGGTGTTCTGCAGACAAACATCACACAGAGTATTGGAAATGCAGTCTGTTCAAACATTTAGACTGAATCTGAGGCTGCAAGCGTCAGCGATCTTCCCAAGAGTGTGGATCTGCGGGCATTCTCGCAACAATATGGCACACGGCTGTCCGGGCCGAACCTCAGTCAAGCTGAGCTGTTCCTTGAAGATTTCAAAGATACTTTTGACAAGTCTTTGGCCACTCAGCTTCAACAGGTGAAGCTGCAAGAGTCTGTTGTTGAGTTCTTTTTTTGCTGCTCCTACAGATAGTCGTCTGTAAGGTGGGGGTCTTCCCTCTGCCTGCCTCACGAGACGGCCACCCGTATGTAGCACCTGACGGCAAGTTGCCAATGCCGAAGATGGCCACGATGAGACTCGTCTCTTGAGCCCGCTTGCATTTGTAGTGTGTGGAATCTGCACGAGTCTGCCTCTGGACTGGTCAGGACGGCGCTTTGGTCTCTCCAAAAACAGATCGAGGCCGAAGATGGCGGGCCCTCCCAAGATGACGGGCCCTCCAAGGCGTGGAGGGCCAAGGGCGAGATCGTGGCCTTTCTGGGGGCACCGGTCCCTGTCATTTGGGTGACCGTGAACTCGTTCGCGGAATACCTAGTGCGCCTGTGTGGCGCAGAAGAGAAGAAGGACAAGCAGAAGAAAATGGCCCTCTTGGACGACGCCCTCGCCTACTTGGCCATCCTGAACAACGAGGGCAGTGAGGAAAGGGCCATCAAGGTGTATCAGGAGGCCCTCCGCCTCCAGAAAGCAGATGCAAAACGCAGGCCAGATCAGAGAATAGCCACTTCTGGACACTTGTCTTCAATTAGACAGCGACGCATGGTTTTGTGGAACGGAGGTACTCAGAAATGAGCTACATCCTCAAGCACCTGGACACCGAAGCCCTCAGGATGCTGGCACACTGGCGCCAGGGGGCCCACTACTTGATCGCCAACATCTTCAAGGACACCTTGGCATTTGCCACATGTCTAGGGTAAAGCAGTACCAGAAGAGAAGCCGAGATGTCGTATGAGAATTTGGTGCATGCCACAGTTAGCAAAATCAGCATCCAGTATGGGATACACCCAAGCAGAGTTCTAGCTCACACGAGGTTCCCTGCATGGATTCCTGGCTAGAAAGCCAGGTAACAGTAGTTAAGCAGATGTCATTCAACATGTGTCACAAGGACAGCTGGTTGACTTCAAAGGCCCTCGCGGACATCAAAAACACGCGCGTCCAGGATCCCTCCAAGAGTGGTACTTCTGAGGTCTCTCTGCAGGTGACGGCTGTCAAGTACATCCTCAAGAAGCTGGACACGGTCTCTCACAATGACGAACCCTGGCCGCATATATTTAGTTGCATGTGCATGCAACAGTACTAAGAACTTAAACATTAGCTGCCATTGCACCACAATCAAGTAGAGAGACAGCAATGCTACATCTCAGACCAAAGTCATCGACACCGTGGGCATCACCAAAGAGAAGGTGTCCAAGGTGGCGACGGCCCTCGGTGACACCTTCAAATTCCTGGAGGCCCTCCGCATCAAATTCGAAAGCGTCTGGCACGCTGTGCCGATGGCCTCTCAAATCTTCCGGCGCACATTGATCGATGCGGACCTCAACCTGATCTCCAACCCCGAAGGACATTCGGGAGCAGTATTCAAGCAATAAATCAGACAATGCTCGTTTTCAGCAGCTTCTCCTGATAGGATGGGCGGCCTCGCGACACATCTCCAAGGACCTCGACAACGAGTCCATGGGCTACGAGTATGCGGCAATGATTTCGCAGCTTGAAAAAGCACACACAAACATGGTGCAGGCAGCGAAAGCAAAAGCCGAGGAGGCTCGACGAAAAGCAGAGGAGGAACGGCGGAAACAGGAGGAGGAACAAAAGAAAAGGGATGCAGAGGTCGCAGCTTTGGAAAACAAGGCCTGCAGTATGCTTTGCCAATCAGAGTCATTTTTCATTTCCAGGACCTCCCTCGACCAATGCGTCCTAGAGACCCTGCACAGGACATGGCTGTGGATGAGCTCGTCAAGGAACGGCTCGAGAGGGTGCAAGAGGCCATCCAGGACATGGAGGTGGATGATGTTGGCGAATCCGAGAAGAAGCCCGCCGTGCCGGCCAAGAGTGACGAGGAACTCTTGAAGGATGCAGCCATGGCCAAAACCAGAGCAATTTTTGACGCGACCGTCCTGCCATGTGACGCAGCTTATCCCCCACCGACCGAGGCATCATGGCATGTATGGCATTAGCATAGACGGATGTCTCAAGTCAATATCATCCTCCCAAGTTTGCCTTGCTGCTTCTGACAGGTTCTCTCCGCAAAAAGCAGGCTTTGGGTCATCCCAACAGTTGGCCAAAGGCGTGGGCCACACAAGTTCGGTAAGAGCCGCTGTGTCTGCAGTGTGATTCATTGATTCGTCACCCCATAGCGTTTCCTTGCATGACTGAAAAAGTCTCACAACCCAGAACGGCCGAGGCTTGCCACCCATCAATTGGGGCCGTCTTGGGTGGCCAGAAAGCCTGAACGAGGGGGACATAGTCATCGCACTCCTGGGTCACGACCCATCCATCGAGACTGCCACTCGTGATAAGATCAAGAGTTGGTGCAAAGGAGATATGAAGTGGCTGACGCCTGTGAGGCGCCAATCCGTCATAGTTGGGGATTCTCTTGTTTGAACGCTTCTCCACAGGCATGCTTGTGCACAGGACCTTGATTCAGTCCTCGGGCAAAACGTGCTACGTGGAGTTTATACTCATCGGGCATATGCCGAATGTCAATCCAGAAGCACTGGAACTTTTGCAGTCCACCACAAATTTCCAGACAATGGATGCCTATCCGCACGTGGATCTGCGACGTCCGGTGCCGTGGGCTGCATCTGTTGACGATAAGTTCAAGTCATTGCTTCATTTTTTGATGCCCCAGCAAGCATGGAAACACAACTGGCAGGTCTGCGCATGTGCGGGGGATGAGGAGATGAAAGCGTGCCCCCACCTGACCTTTGTGGTCAATCGCACTATCTCCTTGAGATCGAATTCGGAGATGAATCTTGGACTGTGGACCAGAACTGCCAGAACTGTTCAGTCAAATAATTGAATCCCATAACCCCCACGTGCATGGCTCGAAGTAAAATCCTGAACACCCTGCCAATCCGGGGACTCATGTCCAATCCTTAAAGCCATGAGGAAGCCAGACTGCGCGACGGAGACGAATGAGGCAGATTCGGCAGATGTCGAGCTTGAGAGTTTGGCCGAAAACGAGAAGAAAACGAACCCACATGTGTTTGGCCAATCGGAGATATTCTTCCAGAAACTCTTCGAGCACCTCACGCCCACTTGTGTCATCCTGCCGGCCACCGCACCTGTCCCTGGCCTCTGCATGGGCTTGTGCCTTGGCTACCTCGAATGATGGGAGGAAGCGAGTGCTTTGGAAATGACTTTCATGACATGCACTTCTGTTTGCCGTGTTGTCCTCCAGTCAGTCTCAGGCTCCTCTACAACCAGACCCGCCTGGCCAGTGGCGCTGAATGTGCCATTCTGGCATTGCCGTTGGATTTGGCTCCTCCGAAGCGGGCCAGGCTGCACAATGCAGCCACAAGCTTGTCCAGAGTTCCTGGGTACTGGTTTCAGGGAATATTACACGTCTATCTTTCGCGGTAACCTACTATTCATGAATAATTCCCAATGGCTTTGAAGCAGAACACAGGTTCGGAGTCACTGGGTTGAGACTCGTGTGGGTGACATGCTGGCGGCGCGCAAGAAAGCCGGAGCATCTACGGAGGACAAAAAGAAGAAAGAGCGACAGCTTCAGAGGGTCGAGTCCGCGCCGGACGAGCACATCGACCGTTTCGTGGTGCACAAGTATGTGATTCCCCCACAGGACCTGGGCCCTCCCCATGGTGAGTCCGACTCCGATGGCGACGAGGGCGACGTTTCCAGCTGCGTGACACCAGAGGTGGTGTCCCGCAGGATGCATTCGGCCATGACCAAGACCGGTGTGGCCATCAAGACCTCGCCAGGCAGTGAAGTGGCAGGCCTTGGCATGATCGCGGAGGTCGCTCTCAAGAAGGGATACGAAATCCCTGTGCGTGGGTCATGGCCTGAGTAAATCCGCAAGTCGTCGGTTAAAGGGTCTGTAAAAGCGTGAGACCATAATAATCCTCAGCAATCCCAGGCCTGTCTACAAGGACCTTGAGAACGCTCTGAGCTTCACCACCAGGAATCCGACATACCAGGACAAGATCCTTAAGTTCCTGAGCTTCAGTGTGCCATACTTTAATCTTGTCTTATGGGAACCATTATGAAATGAAAGTCTATACTAGTTCTCCCTGGTTACTTCAAAGCCCAGGTTCTATGTTGGAGCCGAAGGCGACCATGGCGGGCCTCTCGCGCACTACATCGTCCAAACCGGTCTCTCTGGCTTTTGCAACCACTTCGCAGGCCTCTCCCGGCAGGGGAATGTGAAGCTTGTGGCCTATCCCAAACGGGGCTTGGGCGACAAGCTCTTCGTGCTGTAGCTGAGCAGATTTATTTCCATGTTCGGTTGGCAAGTGTCTGTGGCTTATTCTAGAAAGGTGCGAGTCTATGCTTCTTTTTCTCCAACCCAAGGCAAGTGACACGCACAATCACACCCGGCACAGAGATCGTCATGAACTACAACACCGTGCCGTGGTTTCCTCTTGCAGAGCTGCCGAAAACTATCCCGAAGCCCAAGGCACGGAAATCAAAGGGCAAAGCCAAGAAGGCTGAAGCCGAAGAGAGCATGTCCGAGGAAGACGATTTTGCTGGTGCTGGGAAAAAGCAGGCACCCGCTGAGTCCAGCGACCCACCTCCGGTCCAGGAAGCTCCTTGTCAGGAACCAGCACCCAAACATAAACTTTTGGTTGGTTTATTCCTTAAAGGGGATTTTTCCATATCCCAACCTGATGGTTTTTGTTTGGCTGCTTTTTTGGGTCCCTACCTGATACTCCAGGACGCTCCAGGTCATCTCCAGCAGGAAGACCCAGCTGCGCTCCAGGACGCTCGAGATCATCTTCAGCCTGAGAAGCCACAGATGGACGACACCGCCTCCCAGCCACCTAGCCCTCCGGATGCAAGTCCTTTCCAGGCCCTCAAGGAGATGTTGGGGAGGCCCAAGAAGAAGACCAGATCTGAGTCGATGAAGGCTGCCCCGGCGAAGCCCAAGCGCAAGGCCAAGGCAAGCAACAAGCGCAAGCGTGAAGAAGTGGAGATCAGCGACAGTGAGACTGAGAACGCCGAGGCAGCGGAGAAACCCGAGTCACCCACATCAGTGGTCAGTTCGGACGACGGATCCAAAGAGGCTGATCACGAGGACAAGTGAGAGGCCACTCCTCCTTCGGAAGTAATGGCAAATTTTGAACTAAGACTGGACAGACAAAAATGCTACAATTTTGCGCAGGCTGACGAAGGAGACAAGAGGTAAGTGCTTCCCTCATGATGTGGACTAAAAGGCCTGTCCTCTAGTCCCTGCACCAGTGACTGCTGCGCCTTGTGAGGAAAAGTGTGTGCCAACAGCTGCCCTGAGAGACTTCGCCTTGATACTGACCGAGCCAAGTGTGCATGTCTGGTTTCAAATTGAAACAACTTGCCCAGGTCATCTTCCTTGGTCGTGGAGCCATCCATCGTGGACATTTGGGAGCAGGCAGGCAATCGTGCTCACAGGGACGATTTCGGCTGACAGTGCATGCAGGTCGTCATCCATCAAAAGGTGCTGCCAGAACACGCCAAGCAAGTTAACAGCGCAAATAGACAAGAGCATGGGCCCATGCCGCCGATTGCTGCAGCTTAGGCTTCAAATTTGACATGTGCCATTGTATCCGGAAGGGTTTCTCACATGAACCGGACTAGGTCAGCTTATCAGTTTATGTGCTTTCAATTCTGCTGAGGTTCCTGTCCATCATGTTTCAGGGTCAAGACTCAGAGCAATGATTTCTGCCAGCACATTTGGCCTGCAGCCACAATGGCATTCCAACCCACGGTTCTTGACACAAAAGTGTTCCTGGCCGACGGGTCCGTGGAGCATGTGGCATGGAAAGCCTGGCCCTCTCCGGATGCTTCACATGAAACAAACAAATAAATGCGGTTCCTTGTGTTCGTTTTGATCCAGTGACGCCAGCAGATTGCGGTAGCACACAAGTCTATTTAGTTGACGAAAACATGCACTTCTTGTGTAAGGATGGCCAATGTCTGAGATGGGAAACACGCCGTGTTTTGCCAACCATTGGGTTCGTGGAGCGCAGCGATAAAACGAAAGTATGCAGGGTCGTCCAACAGCAGTGGGACAAGTGGATTGCATTGTTGAAGCGATATGGTTTCAAGAAATGCATTGGCCGATCTGAGAACAGCATGCTCAGTCGAAATCGCGCGAACCCCAATGTAGTGAAGGACCCGCGCTGATCCAGAATGGTTGTACTTTTCTTATAGGGGGGGAGGGGGCACGCACATACAATCAAGTATCCCTGGACAGGACACTCGAGACAGTGATGGTGTAGAGAGCGACGATGTTGAGCAGGAAGTCTGGTGTGGGACCAATGCGCTGTTTGCATTGCTGCAAATGTGGGAAACAGATCGACGTGACAAGGGTATGCGTCAACGCACCCGGTCAATCAACTTGGCCGTGCTGCAGACCTGCATTCCTCCAGGACCTTGGCTTCAGAAACTGGAGGCCTCTCTGGTGCCCACGCCCAGAATACAACATGAATGCCAAATCCTTCCAAACAGCACAGGGACATGCATATGTCATTGGCCTGCCATTCATCAATGTTCTGTAAGTTCAGCCGTCGAAGGCCAGGGTTTTTTTTGAAGTCTGGTTCAGGGGTTTGTAGCTTGTCTGTATGACGACAGTGTCCACTAGGACACAGACGACGACAGCGTCGGTAAGGACACAGACGACGACAGCGTCCGTTAGGACGCAGACGACGACAGCGTCCGTTAGGACGCAAACGACGAGAGCGTCCGTTAGGACCCAGACGACGAGAGCGTCCGTTAGGATGCAGACGACGAGAGCGTCCGTTAGGATGCAGACGACGAGAGCGTCCGTTAGGACACAGACGACGACAGCGTCGGTAAGGACACAGACGACGACAGCGTCCGTTAGGACGCAAACGACGAGAGCGTCCGTTAGGACCCAGACGACGAGAGCGTCCGTTAGGATGCAGACGACGAGAGCGTCCGTTAGGATGCAGACGACGAGAGCGTCCGTTAGGACACAGACGACGACAGCATCGGTAAGGACACAGACGACGACAGCGTCCGTTAGGACGCAAACGACGAGAGCGTCCGTTAGGACCCAGACGACGAGAGCGTCCGTTAGGATGCAGACGACGAGAGCGTCCGTTAGGATGCAGACGACGAGAGCGTCCGTTAGGACACAGACGACGACAGCATCGGTAAGGACACAGACGACGACAGCATCCGTTAGGATGCAGACGACGACAGCGTCCGTTAGGACGCAAACGACGCTGAACCGTAAACTCTCAACCCCGAACCACAATCCCTAAACCCGGAAACTTAAGCTCTAAAATCTGAACTTTCAGGCCTGAACCCTAAACCGTCAACCCTAACAACCTGAGAAATGGGAGTTTCGGAAAGGATCCCTCTACAGGGAGCACCCTACTTTTGCGAAAATCTTAGAGTGTTCCATAGCTGCCATACCTTTGGTCCCTCCTGCCTACTCATGGGTCTGCCGAGGCTGCCAGACAGCTCGCCAAAGAGCGGCTGACGTGCTCAAGGACGTCAACATGCCCATGCACGAAATGGCTTGGCAGCTCCTCCATGTGTTGAGTGAGGTGTCCTGTCCTGCAGTTGGCCTCCTCACTGGGCGGCTCATCAACCAGATTGCAGAGCTGGTGGAAGAAAATTTCGACAGTAGCTTGGCTTTGCACATGCCGATTGTCACCCCGGCCATTCTCCACATGTGTGGTTTGTTTTGTGTAAGTGTGCCTCCATTCAAGGCTGGAAATGCAAGGACTTCCTGAAGAACCCCGCTTTATCACTTACAACAGAGTCCTCTAACAAGCGGAAGCGTGTGGACCCACACATGAAGAAGGCAGCCATCGAGACCGCGCTTCAGGACGACTGTGTCTTTACTGTTCACTTCTGAAGACATGTCTTCATCCCAACACCCTAATATGTAACACCCCACGTCCTACAAACAAATCTAACAGAAGAAACAAACCATTCCTACTGTTCGTGGCCATCAACATCACTGCATTTATTTGTGGCGTGGCACCCGTTCCCAAATGTTAGGTCACACCAGCCCCCCGATCACTAGGTCGACGCAGACCTTAGGTTTAGGTCAGATCGGACTTGACCCCAACCGTTAGGTCACACCCGGGCCCGACTGTGGTTTCTGCGGGATTTCTGGGAATCTATATATGTTTACATTAGGGCTGGCATTTAATATCACACAGTGGGGTTGATTTCCAGGAGTGCGCTGAAGTGAAGTGTTTCTCACTCAGACAGAAGTCACCATTATGCGACGAAGTTTCCGAAAGGATGGCAGAGCCAAGCGGACCTCGCAATTGCTGCAGACATTGCAGCTCGGAGATTTGTCACAAGGAGCTCGCTGGATGGAAGAGCAATTGGCGCAACTTTCGGTAGGGTGCAGCCAAAACTAGTTGCACGTCTCCCTCCAGAGAACATGGCCTTAAAGTAGATCCAGGTTTAACATGCAGACATGTTCACCTGCAGGCGGCCTCTCGTTTTGCCTTCCAGAAGCCCGGCGTCCTTTCACTGTGTTTCGACGCAGCGGCCATCGGCAAACCAAGCAAAGATGTCCTGCTTTTGTGCCAATGGTCCCTGACGGCTTCTTGCGGCTTGGTCCTCCCTCCGCAAGAGTTAAAGGTCAAGCGGGCAGACATTGAGAAGGCCGAGAAGATGCAACCACCAATCCTCTTCGTGGACAATCCGTTAGAGGAGTACCTGGCCCATCCCGGTCAAGCGCCTGAGGAGCGTAAAGTGAACCTCGAGTACCTCATAGCAGTGGATTCGGCGTTGTCACGGAGCAACAACTTTGGTCTCTCAGCCTTTCTTCCCACGCGCACGGTGGGTGGGCTTCCGCTGGGGGCAAAGCGCTACTTCGTGTTGCAAGAGTGCAAGTTCAGTGGCCATCCACGACACCGAGAGCCTCAGCTGATTTGAATTATGCGGTTGATGGACAAAATCCTGCATGACCTTTAGGACTTTAGGACCCTTTAGGCCCTAAACTATGGAAGCGATGGCATATTCCTTGTAATGGGTAATGCAGGAAAACAGTGAGCGGCATGGTTGTCATCTGATAAGTCTCACACAAAACAAACCGGAAGTAGTGACAGCAACAAGTACATGATGATGTTCATGATCATCATCATCATCGTCTGGTGACTAGCCTGTCGAAGCTGGCCACATTTTGCTTGGAGTTAGATGCATGCATGAAGAATTTAACAGACTAACCAAGGCCTGCGTTGAGTTGCAAGACAAGACCAGGTTCTATGAGGTGCCTTTGAGGATGGAGGGAAAGGAGGTCATCCGGCCTACTCTTCATCTTTGTCAGGACTGTCGACCCCTTAAAAACAACTATAGGATCAATTGTTTCTTGTGGATGTAGAAAAATGCAGTGCAGTATGTGGCACACGAAGGACATGGGTGCATCCGGGTGGTACGCAGGCATCTTTCTCATGAACGGAATGAAGATCCGGGGAACCGTGTCCTTTGACATTTTCCACCGCCTTCATTGTGACGTTCAAGATGCTGCTGCAGAGGCTGGTCTGGAGCTTGCCCGTCTGGAAGCGGCGGCAGTGTGTGCGGTGCGACGTGGCCCGTACCCTGTCCTTCATTGAACCATGTACTGGTTTCAGTTTATCGTAAACAGGATTTGAACATTCATTAACTGGCGTAGGACACCCTCTATTAACCGTCGTGTTCCAAGAGGCCATGTGGAAATCGAAGATGCAAAGATGCCACACACACACAAGCTCGGCCCAGGTACGCCACTGATGGCCATCACCAGACGCTGCTCCAGGCCTCTCGCGATCTCGCTGCAGTGCCCGTGCCCAACTCGTTCCTCAACATCTTCTATGGTTGCACAGCTGCACATGACGACACAGGGTTGTACTGAACTATGTGGAGCCATGTGGCATGGTTTGGGTTGAGGCTCTAGTTCATGGCCTCTGCTGTTGTTCTGGATTGTAGATCAGGTCTACACTGTGTCAGTTAGCTTAGGCGATCTCTGCTGTGACTTCCGACTGGTGCCACAGGGCACTGAGGAACACAGGATGTGGGTCTGGAAACAGATGTTGAGCAATCTCTTGCACCTTGTTTGCCATTGGAATTTGTGAGATG